GACATCAACAGCTACGCGCATGTCCCTCTCCTAAATGGTACCCGCATCATTCATGTATTGGGCAAGTACTTGTCGGTTGGGCCTGAGTCTGCTTCTTGGGATCCCTGGTCACAGGCGTCTGCCGCAGCTCAGCAGGTTGGACATCGCAGAGGAAATCAGCACTTTGCACGTGGATGCAGTGGCAATGTCGGAGGCCGCCTATCCGGGCTCCAGCTACGCAGCTGCCGTGGCGGCTGTCCATGCCTCACAAATTGAGTTAGGCCCCAGGCCGCAGTTGCGGACGGCCTGGCACCTGCAAGCTATCGGGCTGTGTATTCAGGCTGCAGCCCATGCGCCAGGTCGGTGTGTCTAGCGCTGCATCGAAGTTGTGTAAGTTGAGTCTTATCCACTGATGCTGTAGGATACCCGCCGGCTCAATCACAGAGCTATGTGGGTCTGGTGCTCAACATTCCCTTGCGCGAACTGCTGGGTTCTTTGATTTTCTAGATACTCCCAGCAGCTGTTGCTGTGTGCCTTTGGCTTGCCTGCTTGTCAGGCCAGCCCTATGCTGGAAGCCAGCAGCCGTACGTTTCCCAACAGGCAACGATCTTTGTTCGTGGCATCTGCATCTCAAAGCCTGTGGCAAGCCTGCAGGCGTACGCAGGAACTGGCCAATACTCTGCAGCAGGACAGCAGGCGATGCTATGCGGTGATAGATCCGGATGATGCCCGTGTGAAATCAGTGTTGGTGAAGCGTAGCCTAGTCTGCATTTTCTGGCAAGGCAGCGTACGCAGCAGGGTCGCAACCTCAGATCGTGCTTGTGGGTTGACTTGGAGATTCCTGACTTGGAAGCACGTTCAGCTGCCCAGGCAACAGGCATATCAGACCGCTGCAGCTACTGCCAGCAGTGCGGTGTATCCATCAGCCGGAGGGGCATATCCACCACAGGCTCCTCGATCATTTGCCATCCTAGTATCGCCTCCTTCAACAGCTGTTTGATGAAGGCACAGTCCGGTTACGGTGCTCCGCCCGGATATGGAGCAGCTGCACGCAGCTTAAAGTTCGTTCTAGTTGTTGCCAGTTCTTGCGACAAGAGCCAGCGCAAGTTCTTCAAAAGTATCTTGCATGCCAGATGCCATGAGGCACAGTACGGCCAGCAGCCAGCATCGTATACTGCCAACCCGGCCACTGCTCGCATCCCAGTGCCAGCGCGGGCCCGCATGATTTTGCGGGGTGTCTTGGGGCCCTGCTTGGTGCCTTCAACTGTTGTCGAGGCCTATGCTGCAGCTGGCTATGGGTTAGGACAAAGCAGTGTCCTTAGCACAACGTCCACAGCAGACGCGTCATGTCAACTGAACTGCCCCTGGATGTGTTTTACATCTTGGGCTGCAGCTGACTATCACATGAGAAGCTTGCAGCACAGCTTCAAAGTCCCGATTCGTGCCATGTTTCACTGTAGACGGCTTTGCTGCGGCCAGGTCCATACAACTACCTGCAGCAGCCCGCCGCTGGATCCGGGGCTTCTCAGCAGCAGTCAGCACGGACAAAGAGCATGAGACTGCATTTCCATCGCGCTCTGTAGGTGGTGGCTTATGGAAGCTACCAGGGTGCGCAGAGCCAGGCACCAGAGAACTCAAAGAAATTGGCCACTTCATTAACAAGCTGCTGTGGGAGGTTGCACAAGCACAGCCGCAGCCTCAAGCGCAATTGCAGCCCTACACCCAGCCGCAGGCGCGAGCCGAGAGGTGTCAAGCGATCATCCCCCTTTCGTTTCAGAGATGCCAATATCGTCTCCTGATCGGCATCGACATCGTCATCGTCGTCTTCGTCGTCATTGTGTCATCATCATAGTGACCAGCATCAGCGTCAGCACATTACGATCATGGTCTCAGTATGTCTAAGTCCTAATCAGGTTGAGCATTACGCTGGTATGTTGTAGGCACGCAAAACTTGGGCATCGGGGACAGGACATGAAGTCTCAAGAGTTGTTCTGTGAAAGGCGTACTTGCCTGTGTGTTCTTAGCCATCCCTCTCTTTCTCTCGCTGCCAGTTGCTATTCGAGCACTGAGTTTGCAGCCGCGGGTTCCTGAAGCAATGGCGGTTTCAGTCTTCGTCTGTTTGCTTAGCTAAGCGCATAGCAACGGATCTAGGTTTCTGGATTGCGCTTCTTTCTCTGAACTCCTAGCTTCACTGCTGTGAAGACCAGCTGACTCCCTAGCGGGTGATCTTTAGCTCTTGATTCTAGCATCGACGGATCACTATCTGTCCGGCCTTTCTTAGTTCAACCACCATTCTGGAGAGGGAGGTCATGCCCCCCGATTGAATCAGACGTGGCGGCCGTAGCGGACCACTCGTGAAAGCCGAAACACAGCCGCATTACACAAAGAAGCCACATGTTTCGATCATGCAGGAAAGCAGTGTACGTCTTTGCCGAGCTTGACAATGATCTGCATGATTTGACCCGCTTAGAGAGGAAATCCAATCGGATTGAATTTGATATGGCTTCAGCATTTCAACGTTTTGTCGACTTCTTGAAACCGCAAAAGCATGGAAATGCTGTAAACCGGCCGACCAGACTTCGAACCATCCAGTAAATCAAACATTGAGCCCAAGAAGTCCATGAACCTCATACATTAGCCTAATAAGCGAAGTTGTAGGTCTTATGTGTTGATGCCATGGACAACCATCAAACTCATTATTCAGTTTAGCTAACTTATGACTTATTGTCGTGCCAGGACTGAGAGCAGTACTGAGTCACACTTTTGTGTAGAACTGGTTTTGCAGGCAGACCCAACCGTCGCAACTGGCAGCCTGGTCCGCTCCTCGTGTCTCTGTATTTAGCCAGTTCATGGTGTCGGGAAAGACTGATCCGCGTCGGATTTTGGATCGCTGAGCTGGTCAGCACGTTCAAGACCCCATGCCAGCTTCATTCGTTTGCATTGATCAGGGACGCGGGCCTGCCAGTGGCTTAGCTCTCTGTAAGAAACATGAATCGGCCTCGCCGCTAGCATGAGGCAACCGCGGATCAGCAGTCCCAGCAGCAATACTTGGATATGGCACATGCCCCGGACCTCTGTTCTGCACCATTCCTTCATTCTTGGATATTGTGAGGTTTGGCAGCTGTCTGACATGTCCTTGAACGACAAGGCTCAGGGACCTTCAGAGCCGAGGGTGCACGGTTGTTCGAAAGTGAACATGCGGACAGAGTTGCAGTCATGGCCGTTGAACACGTTTCGCTTTTCGTCAGCAAGCGTTGCCGGCACCTCCGGCACAGCAACCGCCAGCGCCGCCGGCAGAGCCTGGAGCCCGAAAGAGATCTTAAAACCGCCTGATGACTGCGCCCGTTCCTGGCCTTGCCCGTTCGTGGCACCCGAGGCACGTTCCAACAGCAAACTGGCAGCGTGACGGCACTGTGCCAGCAGCCGGTGGGCCTGCCAGTTCCAAGAGGGAACATGCCGGGGCCGGGACGGGTGTTCTCTGAAGTGTCTTGTGCCAGGGAGTTCCGCTGCGGCCGCGGGCAAAGCTTTGATGTCCCTTACCTTTCTCCGTAAGCTGCTTGCGTGGCTGTCAAGGTCTGGAACTCTTTCGACGATGCTGCAGCCAAGGGCATGGCGCGGCACCAAGGGTTCTGCATCCGCAGCAGAGCATGTGAGACTCGCCCGGATCCAAGGTTGACGGACTTGTAGGTGGGGATGAGACGAGTGCTCCTCCACCTCTGCCGCCACCTCCTCCCAATGCCAACACAGCCATGTGGGGGTCTCACTGAGAAGGCATCTGGCCCACTGCCACCAATGTTTCAGAGATTGTGCAAGAAAGGTTCCCGTACTTAGACTTAGACCATCACTGTTCGTTGCTTCTTATATTGGTCTCACTGTGCTGCGTCCCGGTTTCATCCGGTTTCACATATTTATATGGGCTTCGCCCACGGTCAAGGCGGACTTGACCCCAGTTCGGGCTGGAAGCATTATGTCTCAGGCAGAGAAGTGGTGCCACTATGAATGTCTCCTCTGCAGAGTCTCCTCACACTGAACCGCTCATCACGTCGAGGGTGAAGCAGTGATGTGTGGTTACTTATGAAGACTCGTCTCACAGGGTTCGATCTTGGACATATCACGAACTTCTCGTACATCACTACTTGGACCGAGTACTTCATCATGGTGCCGACACCTGTCCAATCGGCCGAACCTTGTATCACAACAGGGCCCGCAGCGCCTGGCAATGCCGGTTCCATTTCACCATCTGAACCGCAGCCTTTATCGGCGGGCAATCTCCCAACGAATCGTGCACAATTCGATTGATCAGATGCCAGCAAGTAGCTCGCTTGACTTTGTGCAGAGCATCTTCTCAGCTTTAAGTTTAGCCTAACAGCCAGTCCCGGCCGCAATGTGTCGGAGACTTTCAGAAGGATTGCTGGTCTGACAGTATGAGTGAGTTTCATCGGATTTTGATGCTCGGCATAAGAAGCCTCGGTGTTAGCAGCGAAAGACAGGTGCGCATGTGTCTAGGTGTGTGTTGCAGCTCGGCAAGCTGTCCCAGGAGACCAGGGCATGGGCACACAGGATGACGTGACGAAAGGGACGTGGGACGACATAACGTGGGCGGCCACATGAGCCGGAAGACATCAAGAAAGAGAGGGCAGCGGTCTCGAAGATCTTACCAGGATTGATGGAGCATGCCCGCTAGGTGCGTCACAGCGCGGGCCATAACAGTGGCAGAACCTTCGGCGCCACACCGTGCCGACCATCATGATGATCACTCGCAAATCAGAAATCTGATACGAACCCTGTGCCAGAAAATCCTTTCAACCAAGAGTCACTCAACTCTTCAGGTATATGTCTAGGACCCGCAGATCTTTTTCTGGAGTGCACCGATCTGCTTTGCTTCTGGGCTCAGAGCGGCTGCGCCGCCAACCTAAGTCTTGCTCTCACCAATTGACATGGTTCGAAGCTGAGAAGAGGATTCAGAGAGCGCCCCATCCCTTGTTGCACTGCATTCCATCGTCAGGTCAGGTGTGAGAGCTATGGCCCGCAGCTGAGACCCACCGTCCGGAGGAAGGAATGACGGTCCACAACGCCTCGTGCGTAGGTGTTCGGCCTGAAGCTTGGTCTTCCCAAAGCTACGAAGGCCCGGCTTCTGGTTCGCAACAGTCTAAAGAGGATTTCTTTGCACACTGTATCCCAAAATCGGTTTCGAAGGCATCGGCTGAGTCTCCAGACAAGAGTTCGAAGGCCAGAGCTTGGTCGTTATCGCAGAGCGCATCCCGCAAAAGCTCCGCCATGCTTCAGGCAGAGGGAAGCGGACGGAGTAACTCCAAAGGAGACAGGAGTGGTGGTGGAGGGGGAGGAGGCACGTGTAGACATGTCGGTGTCAAGAGCCAAGACCAAGAGCGGCGCTACTCGCTGTAAGGCAAAGGAGCACTTACCGTCAATGAGTTTGTCAGCGCCCAAGACCTGCCGCCTTGAACGGCCATGAAGCATTTCTGCTCCAAGGTTGCTCGCACAAAGCGATATAGAGAAAGAGGGCTGGAGCCAACGAAACCTGAACTCATTGCCTACGCACGGCGGAGCGCTCAGCGGGGCAATCGCCCAGCTTGCATTGAGTCTGATGGAGGAGTTGTGACGTGTTCGGAAGGTACTTGGGTATAGATCCCATCACAGATGGTGATCTCATGTGGATAGCAGATGAGGCCCGAGCGCATGTTCGAGCGACATTTTCGCTTGAAGTCGGTTGTCTGCAAGGCTCTTGCAGCACCACTTCCATCCGAATGGACAGAACACCACGACAGGCGTCCTGCACGGCCTTTGCACCGGGTCTTGCGTGGTGCCGGAACTTCTGATCATTTCTTTCGCTCGCAGTGCGGATCGGGTCTTCTACTACAACGTGCAGACCCATGCCAGCTCGTGGACACATCCTCTCGAGCAGATGCACCGGGACACGTGACCTCTGGAGACACCAGATTGCTTGCAGGTCACAGTTGGGTGGGTCGGGACATGTCGGAATTTGGAGTTGCAGAGTCTTCGGAAGAGTCAGAAGCTCACCAAGTGGCATGCGGTTGTGTCAGTGAGCCTCTCGAGTGCCAAAACATGCCAAAACCGAAGCCAACATCTGTGACGCAAGCATAGCAGGTTCACAATTCAAGAAACCCCGGATATGCCGGGTTTGGGGCAGCCGTAGATCTGCCAATCTGCCAACAGGTACAAGTCGATTGTGCATTATCGCAGCGGAGAGGTCTCCAAGGAGGAGACTCTGCGTAAGCCACGCTGCACCTGGGATGTCGCAGCTCTGCGCTGTTCTGTGTTAGAATGGCTTGATCGCCTGTTGAGGATCAGGTGACTGAGCTCGAGAGGCTCAAGAGAAAGCCTTTCTCTCGACTTGCTCTTCGCATCGTGGTGTGTAGTCTCTCCATTGTCAGAACTGCTTGTGACCACTAAGCCATTAAGGTGCGACGACGCAGAGCGTGAGTCCATCAGAGAGCTTCAGGTCCCGCATGCACATGGGGAACGTGTTACATTCGTGGATTTCAACGCGTGCAGGCGTGGTCAGAACATACTGACGAGGGAGGCAGGGACGAGCCTGCACACTGTTCGAGCATCGAAAGAGCTTGGCACAAGTGAAAGTGGGTCCAGGTCAGAAGTTCTTTTACAATCGCGAGAAACAGGTCAGTGCCAGGAGCCAACTGAGCCCATGTTCTATGATCGAATTTAAATTGGTGTGCTTGGCCGAGGTGTGGACGGATCCACGGCCTGCGCGTTGCCATGCCCTGCCCGCCGGCAGGTCTAGGCTACGAGCATTGGTTTGTGATGGAGACCGCTGGCTGTCTCAGGTACGTGCAGATGAGAGCTCTCCGCGACATGAGCAAGCATTGCGGGCAGGCGGGAGCTACTGCTGCCACTACTGTGCATGTGGGATCGCTTGTTTAGACAGGCCGTTCCTGGCCTTGGCCCAATGGATGACCCGCGGAGAGATAAGCTTCGAATTCAGCAGCGCAGACCTCAGTTGTCAGTCGAGTCTGAACTCAGCTCCGTGCAGCTCGGTATGGCAGCACCCGTCAGCAAGCTCAGGACGTTGGTTATGGGAAACGTAGGCCACGATCTCGTATGTTGATGCACCCCATCGAGCCTTCTACGAAGCTTGCTTGGCAGATCCTCTGGGCAGAAGTACTATGCAAAGCACTCAGCGCAGCAGCGATGTTGTGCAGTTTCATGGTTTTAGTTCTGAGGCGTGATAAAAGAGATGATGACAGTCGATTGGCTGGCGCTGGGAGCCCAGTTCTGGGTAGATTCTGGCAATCGCCATGAACTCTGTGAAAGTCTTGAACTCTGGTTCCTGTGCAGGGAAGTGGCACTGCAGGCTTGGCTCGACTGTATGCAGCAAGATGAAAACTCTGCTCCGTACCGTCAAGCCCGAAGCCGCAGCCCCTCGGAGGCCAAAAAGACGAGGAGAAGAAAAAGAAGAAGAAACACAAGGAGGCCAGCAGCACAGCCCCTACAGTACTCCAGCTGAGCTGGGAGCCTTCTGTGTTCAGGGAAAGCACAAGAAGGAGGGAGGCAACGAGGCCTTTCGTTTCCGCAGTCTGCGTGAAGTTTTTGGTGTGGGTTAGGTCCTCGCATGTCCCCGCTGCCCAGGAGCTTCTGGACCTGACCGAAGACGGCGATGGGGAGATAGGCTGAGAAGAGAAAACGTGTGCACTCGCCTAAGCAGCCGGCTCTGCTGGGCACAGGAGCTCCGGACATCTTCAACAAGAAGTCTGGCCTCGACGTCAAGAAACCCTCGTTGTCTGCCGTGGAGGAGGCACACATCACACGCGGCCAGGACACGATAAAAAACGTCTGGTGACCGTTTGCCTGCCCAAAGGTGAGACAGGCGCTTGGTGTTGCTCCTGGCAGCAACGCTGCTGGCAGCCAAAGTAGGACACCGAGCCCCACGGAAGCCCAAATTCGCTTCGGCCACTTCGGCTTCAGCTTTGGTGGCGTTCAGGTCCACGCGGATTGTCTGGCGGACTGCCCAGCATAAACCAGGGCAGTTTTGGCCGCTTGCCACAAACACCACCAGGTGGGCTCACTACATCGAAAGACATTTCCGGAGTGTCCCTGGTTTGCCAGGTGATGGTTTAAGCTCCGTCGGCCGAGCAAAGGTAAGGGCAGGCATTCGTTTAGAGCACGCAGCCAAGCTTTTCCACGCTTCTGCCGAGCGACTGAGCCAATTTGCACTTCAGCACCGGTCACTGTTTCGGGGCAAGGGGACGCCGTCACATGCCTCCATGCCAGTGCCGCCATGCCATAACCTTTGCTTGAGGCCGATCAAGGGCTAGCGCCCCGTTTACTGGGTATGGGGACCCAGGCCGGCAAATGGGTGCAGCCCTGCCTTCTGACGGGGTCGAGCTTGTTGCTGCCAGGCTATGTGATACTGCACTGCCTGAGCCTGGATCCCGAGACTTTCGACCATGGAGCACAACATGTGCCTTAAAGACCTGACAGCCAGCAGTGCATGGCAGTTGAGGCTGCGGAAACCAAACGACTCTCGGCTGAATCGACTCCCAGCAGTCAGCTGCGTGTATGCCTACTCGTTCCCAACTTTGCCCCTGTTCGGTTTAACCTGCCTGCTTTGCTTTCATTGCTGTCCTTTTTGAGCATGTTTGCAGGGTCTGCTTTGCAGCTTTGCCCCTTCCCTTTTTGTCGTCACTGTCCAAGCCTGTTTGCATCTTCTGCTTTCTACTTTTGTCGCTATCCTTTTTGTCATGTTGCTTCGCCACTCCTCTTCTCCCTGTTTGTCGTGTTTGCTTGCTTCCCAGGCTGCGCTCAGGCGTTTTGCTTTCATCTCTCACAGCCGTTGCCTCAACGTTGCTTCGGAGTTTCGTCACGTTTTGAGAGTTTGCATAGCAGACCTCGCATCGATCTCCAGGTCGTCAGAGGCTCTTTAGGAGTCTCTGTCTCAGTATCTTGCGCAGCTGTGGACAGCGAAGTCGCTGGCATTTGGAAGCCATGAGAACCGTCACGATCAGGTCTCTTTTTCCTCTTGGCTGTTATTCAGCTAGGACAGAAGGGAAGTGATGGCTGATGCTTTCAAAAGCGGAGAGAGTTGCATGACACCTGCTACCAGCTTGTGACAGAGGAGCTTGAAAGGACTGGGCCAAAGCACCAGCTTGTCCCGATGAGATCTCACTTCTAGAGCACCTTGGAGCAGCATTGATAGCTGAGTTTCGTCGGATTCTCCGGACAGCTCCCTGCAGCTCAGGTGGCTCTCTTTTCACCTCGTCCTTTTGAGTGGTGCCAACTCCAAATCGCCTTGTTTGCAAAAGCCCTAGAGCAGCATCTGCAGAAAGCAGCCTGGGTTGATCGCTACGTAGCTTCAGACTGCACTGCTGATCCTAGGGGTTTTGGGCTGCTCCACTCTCCCTGAGTTTCTTTGACTCAGGACCCTGTCCATAGATTCGAAGCTGGTGGTGGCAGTTTCCAGGTTACTAGGTTGGACTAGCTACGGTCCAGGCTCAAACAGACAGCTTCGAGTCCAGGGCTCTGCTGGTGCACGCAGGAGCTTGTTTCACCTGTGCCCACCAAGAATTGCTTACAACACAAAATCCTCCAAGCTACACAGCTTGCTCCAGGAGTGTGGCCAGCGAAGGTTCACAAGCCAGCAATCGCAGCTATTCAACTATGGCAGTGAGTCCTGTTGTCTTTCCTGATGTGGACCATTGTCGTGACCCTTCGTGTGGTGCTAGCTGCTTTTTGAAAGGCGAACGCCTTGTCTCACCCGCGCACTCAATACCCGGACATATACTGCTATTGTCCATAAAGCATGCGATGGGAGCTTCCATAAAGCTCGAAACGGGGGCAGCAGCTTGAGCCTATGATAGCCGTTTTATACGCTTCAACTCAAACGCGCAGACGGGTGCATAGACATCAACATACTTTACTGGACACCGATGGGCGTTGAAGAGCTTCGACACCTGCGAAGATGCTGTAACATGTTGAAATTTCAGCACGTCGTAGCATCTCAAGATTCCGGCTTTGGCAGCCGGTAGATCCGACACCCCGCACAAGGAAACAGAAGCTTGCAGAAGTCGAGCGATTGCTACGGTGTCGTAAGGATGTCTTGCGCACGTGCGCTACTGGAAACGGGCGTCCTCATGGCTCCAGAGCTGGAAAACATGTGGGCTTGACACATGGTGTTGCAATGGTAAGCCCGCAGACCAGGAATGACTTCAAACGGGAGCATGGCAATACAAGAGCAGGGCCAAACCAATCATGCCGCGACAGCGCATCAGCCAGAAGCCCATTTCTGCTTGAACCCACGAGGGACTGTAGAGCCACCAAACAAGCAGACCTCCGAATCTCAGTGGCAGCTAGAATCTTGCCTGGCTTCGTTGACCTACGGAATCGGAAGGCCAGCAGTGAGTGGTTTGCTGCCTAAGAAGGACGAAGGGCTACATGTATTCCGTGACTATCATTCCTGACTGCAGCTCTTCTCTTGTCGTAAGACGATTACATCTTTAGTGGTAGTTGATTGTTGTTGTCCATCCGTTGGTCATAGCACGCATGCCGAATTATGATGACGTCTGTGTCACTTTGCATCCGTTGGTGCCTGGACCCATGCCCATGATAGAGGTAGTGTATCCATTGGTCAGAGCACCCATGCCCGACCCGCTAAGCATGAAAACACGACCCAACAAACAACACAACAAACTGCTGCAGATACCGTTAAATCGTCTTGTAGTTGCAAAGCATTTTCAATAAATATGTTTGAGCAACACAATTTGTGATAGCCTTTGTATCGGTACAACTTTGGTTTTCCATACATGCAGTTGATGTGTGGCGGGCACCAGCAATAGTATTTGACAAGCATTTGTACTTCTGGCAGTGTCGCTATTCTAGCCGTTGGTTGCTGCTATCCTTGCCACAACTGCTGCTGTCGCAATGGATGATACCATGGCCATCAATAGCATGAACATTGCAACTCTTGTTTCGGCTTTCACAAGGATTGCCTTCTACTTTAACTGTACCATAGGCGGATCTGCTGTCAAATCAGTCCCTGTTTTATTCACTATCGTAGCTTTGAGTGCAATTTCGACGGGTCATCATCATTAGAGCCGCTGTCGATATTGATATGATTACTAAAGATGCCAACCGATTCTTGCCACTAGGACTCTCATATGATGCCGAAACAGATCGCTATTTTCCTTGACTATTCGACTGTTGCTTATGGCACTTTCTTTGTACTGTCATCATTGTAGCTACGGCTGTTGCTGCTACTGTGGCTCTTCCTAGTACTGCGACTGCTGCTGTCGTTGTTACTACTGCTGCTGCTGCTCCTGCTACTGCTGCTACTACTACTACTACAACAACAGCAACTACTACTACTACTACTACTACTACTATCAACTTGGTTAGGGATGCGACTACGTTTGTGATAATGATAGTGCCTGCCACAGTATTTCTTTGATTCAGGTCGTTGGCATTGTTGTCGCAGCGCTTGTGATGACGAGTGCTGCACATTGCCTTTGTGAGTAGAACTCGGCCAAGCAGTATCACTATTTGCATTGGCGGTTTTAGTCATTTTCCTTTGCTGCGAAGCCAGTTCTGCATTAGCTTTTGGTATGATCGTGTTGCAGCTGCTGCTTGGGTTTCTTTTCGTCGCTTCATGCAGGCTTCTTCAGGAAGATGGTGGCTGGAGACAGGCCTCCGCAAACAATGCTTTGGGACCATGTGGGCTTCTCGCGACCTTCGTGCATGGTCGACGCACCTCATTGAACGCAAACAGCAGCAAAAGAACCGGCAGGAGCAGCACAGGTCCAGCAAACGAAAGCAGCAAACCGGACAAACCGAACGGCTTGTGGGTTCTGGGGGGGTGTTTCTTGTCTGGTTCAGCAGGAGAACGAAAATGAAGATAAGGTGCTCGGGAAGCAGACGAAACTTGTTGGAGACGGCAACTAAGAATGCAAGTCAAGAGATATTCCGAAGCTCTGCCACATGTGCATCAGTACATACAGATGGCAGGGAACAGGTCCGCACAAACCGGAATAAACCAGGTCTACTCGCTAGGCCGCTAGGTGCCGTCAGGCACAGCATCTACGAACCTAGCTCGGTATAGTAAGTTATGCAGGCAACCCGTTGGCACATTTGTGGATGTCTGGTGACATTGGGTGGAATCGAAGAGTGCGTCAAGGACAGATTCTCACTTGTTGGCGGTTGGTAGTCAAGGGTTGCATGTTGCCTCTTGACAACTGCTGGCCGCCCCTGCCGGTGGTGATTGCAGGCTTCGCTGGGCTGACATGGTCGACACTGTCGCTGCTGACAACGAGGATCGCGCAAGACTGCAGCAGGGCTCAGAAGTCGGCACATCAGATGGCTGCGATCGGCAGGCGAATTGGATTTCGCCATTTTCTATGCAGCACACGGTCACCTGCGACATCGAAATCGAGTCGCTGTTGAAGAAGGCGCACGAAGACCCGTCAATCGCGGAGCTTCGCAGTTTCTAGTCCGAAAAGCCAGGCAGACGGTGGTGTCTGTCCCCCCCACAAGTGTCCTCGGCCGACCGTGCTGGTTCTCTCGCGAGAGGATTCAGAGGCAGAAGCAGAGCAGAGATGGCTTCAGCTGCAGTCCGGCAACATTGTGCAGTCTGTTTGACAGCAATCATTCAGGACATCGACGAAGAGGAGTGGAAGCAAAGATCAGACAAGCGCTCGAAGGCTCGGAGCTTGTCAGAGTTATTTCAGACTTGTGTACGAAAGAGTAGGGGCTGTGTCTTGTGTTTCACTGTAGTGTTCAACTATTATGAGGACTGCCAGGGTTCTGTCTTTGTGGTTCTCAGTCTTTGTGTGGTTCGTGGTAGTAGTAGTAGTAGTAGTAGTAGTAGTAGTAGTAGCAGCAGCAGGAGTAGTCGTAGTAGTAGTAGTAGTAGTAGTAGTAGTAGTAGTGGTCTGCGGCTGCTACTGCCCTTACAAACGAAGCTTCAAGCAATCCCTTTGATATTGACCTTTCCCACCTCCAGGCGTGGTGTGGAGACGTCCAGCTGGCACGGATGCCAAGATGTGGAGTTGACAGCGACATGTAGTGGCCGAGCTGTAGACCTGGGCCGGGAAGGTGAGCCACGATGTCGAATTCAGGCCTTCGGACTTTCTCGCGAACGTTAAGAGCTGCAGGCTTTTAAGTTTGTCTGTGTCACCAGCACGTGCGCCGAAGTACATCAAAGCTTCTGGACAGACTACACGGTTCTTAAGACAAAACGAATAAACTGAACACTGGCCAAACTCTGCCTTCTTGTCCTTCCTCGTTATCAACGAGCAACCGGCCAGAAAGCAGCACTGCATGTTTT